AATTTGAAAGCAACATAGTACATTTAATAATAGTTTTATAACAATTTTGGAAAAAACATGCTAAAATCATTGCGGAACTGCAATAAAATCTGCAGAAAAATTGCCGATAGTCTCCATTATTAATTCAATTTCGATGATTGAAGTAAATATTCAATTTTATTTCAGTGTCTTTGTAGAGAGAACGGTAGAAAATTTAATTAAGAAGTTGTTAATAATGCGAAAGAGCCGCAACGTCGATATTTATCGCGACCGCTAACGAAGGCTGGCAGATTGATTCTTTAAATCAACTCAATATTCCAGCCACAGTTGATTTCGTAAATCACCTAGTCAGAAGGTACCGTTGACTAGTGTATCGATCAATGATTCTCTGATTTAACGTGACGACGCGGAAACGGTGAGCGTATATTTATTGGTGTATGCGCGAGTGAAAGATGATCTTGCGCAAAGAAGAAGATAACAAGAGAGCTAGTTATGATTGATAAAGTATGTTACACGGTGAGTTGAAACTTCCTTGTTATAATTTCGTTTCTTTTTTTCAGTGCATTTTGCACGACACCGAGAAAGAGATCGTGGAGGCAGTAAGGTATGTCTTCGCACCAAAGTTACACAAAGTTCGAATGAGGTAAAGCGAGATCGTGACTCGAATACTGATTTATATGCGGAGAGACATCAGACAAAACGAGAAATTTGTCTATTGATAATTTATGTGCCGTTTCTGCGAAGCTATAAATATTTACAAGGATATTTTCTTCATGCATTTATTATCTGTCAATTTGACACGTGTTGCCTGATTTTACAATCGCAAACTATGTATAAACATGCAATTGATAAAAATGTAATTCACTAACTAATATTTTTACGTTGTAAAATACTGTTAAAAATAATTGTGATTATTTTGAAAAAGTAAATTTAAGAATATTTTTTTATGTTATTGAGTAATTTTTCTTTATATTATTAGATGCTACTCGAAATATATAAATTTTTTAATTATTTTATATATAACACAAATACAATTTGTAACTGATAATTTATGTCCATGTGTTCATTAAAGAGAGCTTAGACACGACCTTGGCCAATGTTCAAAGTTCTATTTTGCCGAGCTGCGAGTTGCTAAGACTGAATAATTAAATTAAATTAAATATTTGTTTAGTTTTTCAAAGACTGTGCTTAACATTTGAAATATAATTTCTATATGAATCAACGTGTTATTTAACTTGCAATACAATATCAATAACATATGTTAATTTTACAATTTTAGATTATTATTGACATATATCTTAAATATAATTAGTATTTTATGCTATAATCTTATCAACTAAATTTATATAAATGATCGAAAATATGGCCTTCGACTTTGACGTATAAAATCCAAACCGAACATATTCCCGTCTTTGACATGATTAAAACGAGACATTTATGAAGTTTCTGGTTTTTAATACAATAATATTTTTTGTATGTGAATTGCAATTTCTTATTATATGAATTTCTTATTATATGAAAATTTCTTACTATATTTTCATGCATTAAAAATATGATACTCGCAGCAATAAAAAATTACTTATTTTTAATCACTTTTTCTTAAGATAATTTTTATATATAAAAGATGTTAACGTAGCAATGTTAAAATCATTCCCAGAATTATTGTACAACAATTCTTATTTAATCCTCTTTAATAAAATATCGTTCTGAACACAATAAATCCCGTATTTGCACTGACGAATCGTTGGCGCGGTGAATGCGCTTCTTCTAGGAGAAATACCAAATTTCGTATTTCATTAAAGGCCGCGGTTTTCGTTGCGATATTTTCGGTAAGGTCGTGGGGAAATATAGTGCGACGGTCAGACGATCCGTCAGACACGGCGACGACGTTGTCGCACGCGTATTATTAACGGCGTCATCGCGATAGCTGCTGCACAAGCGATGTAAGTAAGGATGAAGCCATCGAGTATTCATTCCGGTGTACTAAATGCACGACACGAATCGTCTCGCGTATAACATTATAATGAGTTCGCCGCTCCGAAGATGCCATACGCGTCGATGGAGCTTTCTAAGATGTGAACGTAAAATATGCATACGTCTTCATACCTAAATCGTTTGTAGTAAAACATCAAGCTTATACAGAGTATTCAAAAGGCCCGTCTACAATACACGTAGTAAGCTTGGTTTAAGAAGTAAGAGTAGGTATATTGCTGGATTTCACACTGCATCCGATTTTCATCTGCATCCAATCAGAAAACAGGATTCCGATAATACGAAGCAAAATTCATCGGAATCCTGTTTTCTGATTGGTTGCAGAGCGTCGTCGAAAATCGGATGCAAGAGTTTACAGTAAGTGTAGATGTAGGCGTAAGTGAAATAAATTAATTTTATTTCTTACTCCTACTTCTTAAACCAAGCTTATTACTGTAGATGGGCCTTTAGATTCAAAATTTCAAGATACAGCTTTTTAGCAGCAATATATAGATCAAGCAAAAAAGCGTTGGCTACCTGATACTCTCTGTCAAGTTACTTCTCTCTTATTAATGACTTATATTTATTAAAAGTCTATCATTGTTTCTGTAATAGATGTACGTTCGGAATAACGTAATACACGTATTTGATAATTTTAATATTTTCTTATCTGAGTATAAAAGATGCCAAACGACTCAAAATCTTTCATATATGAAACATATAAAGCTTGAGAAAGTTTCGAACTAATTAGATAAATCTAAACACAAGTTGTTCAGTGAAGTAAATGCAATTAAAATAATTAAGAAAATAAGTAATTACTATATGATATCATGCTATAAAGAGTTCTTTTAAAAATTTATGTTTTATGTACCTAGAAAATCCTTTTCTTTAACGTGAGACAGAAAAAAATAGTAATAGAGCAGGAACAACCAGCTGATTGTCTCTTACATATTTGAAACACTTCAGAAGTCAAATAATAACAAGTAAAGTGCCAAGCACTTGTAACCGCACTTTGAGATGCATTCTCGAGGTGTCGATCGACAAAGTGCACACTAAAGTGCGGCAAAGGTCGCGCGCCCGGAAATCTCGTGCAAATAGTGTGTTTACCCAGACACTTCGCTGTTACTTCGTCGTCCAAAGTTATATTTACCACCGCATTACTGGCGCAATTCCCGAGAGACATTAAACCAGACATTATTTACGATGAGTTTCCGTGAGAGTGACAAAAAAAAAGGATGCAGCCGCGCCAGTTCTCAGATTTGTTGTTTGGTAATGACGTTTCGCTTGTGACGCTTGCAACCGTTTTTAGCGTCATATCGATGCAATCTGAAACTCTGTGCCGCTCATAATTATGACGAAATACGCGTATAAAGTGCCGGGAATGATATGAATTTCAAAGTAGTCTTAGCGAAATAAAGTTTAAGAAATAAATGAAAAAAAAATTGATTTTTTTACAAAATTAAATTTTAACGCAAATATAAATCACATATTCTTTTTGTAAACTTTTAACTTAAATTATAATTGTTTTTATGCAATATGTGAAGTTTTATATTTGTTTTTATATTTGTCATAGTTGCTAATACAGATTATTTAAATATTCATCAAATAAAAGAAATTTTATGAAAGATGATTTTATCGATTGCCTTAATTTATTTTATATTTTGGTGAGTCTTGTCTTCGTTGAGTCTTTTTTTACCGCAAATTATGGCGACTCTGATTATTTGCGCAGCATAGGAATATAGATAGACTAGATAGAATCTAGGCCTAGATCATTCCATTTTTAGTCACTTTAAGACACTTTCGCATATCGTGAGATATTTTTGGCGAATGATGCGATCACGCGTGCTGCGACGTGTCATCGCGACAACTTTGCATCGCGAGATGATTCTCGAGTGGATCGTAGTTTCTTCTAAATGGTTCTCTCTCGACATCTGTTCGAAAAGTTTGGCGTCGCGAACGATCGTAAACCGGCTTTCAACAAGATTAAAAACAACGAGCAGACAAACAATATCGCGGAAAAGTTGCGTTTTATAATAAAATAAATTAATTGTTTACTGCCGTAAGATGCAATTACAAAATGCGTGTTGCATAGGACACAAAAGCGCTGAAATAAATTCGACTATCGGTCAAATTTGATATTTGCATAAACGTCACACGTAATAAATATAGAGGTAAATTTTTGTATAATGATGTAATATCTAATCCCTCTTTTAAGTAATTATATTGTAAAAATTTGTTAGCTGTTTCATTTGTTATTATACTTGAAAATCAATTTAGTCTTTGCATGTGATGAAATTAGAAAATTTAGGATCGAGAAAATAAAAAGAAATGATACACTGTTAGAAATGTTTATGAATTTACAATAAAAATTTGCAATAAATTTACAAACCATATAACATTTTGTTGTGATTTCACAATATTTGTAAATTTACAATAGAAATTTGTTGTGAATTTACATAACTAGCGTGCCACGCTTGCGTATTAGAGATTTGCATATACTTTACCACAAAATGTTATTATAATTTCACAATACTACTGTTTAAATTTATAACACATTTTTATTGGATAAAAACTGCCAATACTTTTAGAAGTTTACAACAGAAATTTCTTACAGTATAGAACGCTATTAGCTAACAGAAAAATCATTTTTCATAATATAAGTTATTTCGCGATGGCTCGAAATAGATTGTATCTATATCCTACATCAGAAGTCCATTTCGATGCAATAGGTCACCTTAAAATAGAGATTGCATAGGAGAAATACGAAAAATAAAATTCGTAAATGTTTGCGCATTGAAACGAGATTTATCTTGTATCTTTTCCATTGTCTAGTATTTTTCCCTATGTAAATTAGTTTATTATTTAGGACTAATTATTATTAACTAAAAGCATTAATTTACTCCTTTTTCATCATTAAAGTAAAGTAGACTTTAATATATCACAAAGAAAGCTATATACAATTTAATTCTCTCAAAAATATTTTAAAGACCGAACACACGTTGCGGTTTGCAACTGCAGTATAATTTTCCTCTCAGGTTCGACAGACGAAAATTTCTGGAAGTATGAGTAACAACGTGCTCGCGAGCACGTCGTTCTCGAGAAGAAACTGGCACGGTGCACCTGAATGGATAAAAGATGACGGTCTCTTATCAGTACCAGGTCGCCAGTTCCACCAGCGGTGGATTCACCAGGCTCCTGCTTATGTGGCGCGGTTCCCTGTACAAGCTCATCTACAGGGAACTGCTGCTTTTTTTACTTGTCTTCGGTATCTTGTCCGCGCTCTATCGCCACGCCTTCACTGCCACGCAAAGAAGGTGGACATTCCAATATTTTAATGCTCTAAATATACACATATGTAAATCTAGAAATAGAAGATATAGAGGATATAGAGGACAAAAATTATTCCGATATCATTAATTTCATCTATATTAATAGTATTAGACACAAGTATACAAATGAGCAAATTTTTCTTAACATTAATTAATTTACATATATTCACCCATTTTCTATTCTTCTTTTTTAATTTGATTAATTTTTTTCGTTATTAAAAGTTGCTTGTAATATATAACGTGTTATAGGGAATTCGAACAAGTCGTCATCTACTGCGACACCTTGATCAAATTGATTCCGTTGAGTTTCGTGCTTGGATTTTATGTGTCCTATGTGGCGCAGAGATGGTGGAAGCAATACACAGCAATACCATGGCCCGACAAGTGAGTTTAGATGCAATTTTCAAGCAATGCATCATAAATTGTTGTTAAGAAGGTTCTCCAGTCATTTGACATAACATAGGAACTTGATCAAATTTTGAGAATAAATTTGTTATAAAAATAAAAGCATTTTTCCTGCATTTTTTCAAATTTTTTTATCTATCTAGATCAAAAGTTATTTCAATAAAAAGTAATATTTTTTAAATTTGTACTGTAATAGAAATATATGAAAATGTATTACAAAATAATGATACAAATCTCAATTTTTTAATATAAGTACTATATGAATTCAAAAATATTTATGTAAAGTTACATTGAGATGCAGACATTAATTGTTCAGTAAATAAACAAAATATTTATTTGTTATAAATTAATTGGTGAATCTCAATGAAACTTTGCATAAGTCATGTTTAATACTTAATATATTTATATAAAAAAAATTTAGATTTATGTTATTATTTAAAAAATTTTTGTTTATAACATTAAAACTAATAACAAATAAAATAAATAATCTATAAAAATATGTTGCTCAATGAAAACAGAATGTTATGAACACAACTTTCACACGTATATAGTTTGTTTAAAGTGTAAATATTAATATATGTGTTTTATGACTGGAGAACTTCCTTAAATCTCAAAATTTTTTGACAATACAAGTTAATATTTTTTTCTTTCTTTTGGCTAAAGCTTGAAAAATGATAGCCAAAAGCTAATTGTCGAAAATAAAAAATGTAACTTTATTTTCATTACATAAACTTCTTTGTGATTTCCTCATTCTTTCTTTCTTTTTGCAGGGTGATGCATCTCGTCGCGCTCTACGTCACGGGAAACGACGATTACAGTCGTATGCTGCGCAGAGCCCTGATGCGTTATCTAAACCTCTCGTTGATACTTGTACTACGTTCCATAAGCTCGGCGGTGAAGAGACGATTTCCCACTCTCGATCACGTCGTTGATTCCGGTAAATCACAGTACTGTAACCACTATCGTCGTCCTAGTGGCAATTAAAAATTAACGAGCTTGTTGCAGGCTTCATGACCACGCTGGAGCTCCAATTGTACCAGTCGGTGCCGAGTGTCGAATTTAACACCTATTGGATACCCTGCACATGGTTCATTAATCTCCTCAAGGAGGCACGCAAGACCCATCGGATATCCGATGCGCAAGGTTTAAAGCTAATAATGGAGGTGTGAGCGAACTCTATGTGTTCTTTTTTCAATCTCCTCGTTTGTTCTTTAAAACTTGATAAAAAATTTTCTTTATTACAAGATGAAAAGAGTTCTTTTTCTAGTTATGGACATTATTTTATATAAATAATTAATCAAAATGTAATAGTCTTAATGATTAATGCTTAACAGGAAAGAAATTAAAATCATTAAAATTTCTTGCTTTAGCATCTATTTTGAATCCTATTGAATCCTACTTTTGCAACAAAAGTAAGGAATAATTATTTAAGTTATTTTATTCTTTTAAAGACAAAAGTCGTATTAAGCATGTTATCTTCTATTTCCTGAGTTCGTTCCTGTTTATCATGTTAGTTCGTGAAGCGCAACATCATGCATGATACGAGATGATTGTATACTGGTAACAGTGGTAACTAGAAAATCAATCGTTTGGTTAGAGAAATGATTAAATTTTATGGGTAGCTACCGTGACGGTAGCCAATGGATATATGGCCGATTCAAAATACGTCGTAAGCCATGTCGCAGTCTATCAACTACGTTTTTATTTTCCGCGATTAGGCACGCGTGTCTCAAACACATTATGAGCTCGCACGAGTATCTTAATCATTTGCTGGAGATAATATTTCTTTTCTTCACGCATCAAGCATTTTTTTATGCATGAAAATAAAAGGAACAAGTAAGAGTTAATCTTGATCTATAAAAAACGCACGATGAATTAATCAGCGAAGATGATATCTAAGCAAATTTAAAAAGAAAAAGCAAATAAAAAAATATTTTTTACTTTAGTATATCCTATTATATCTCAACATTCACACTTTGATATCGTTAAATTCATTAAATTTTTTTCAGAAACATTGATTAATAAAATTAATTAATCGGTGCAAAATCTGTCTCTTGCTCTATAAAGTCAATCTGATTTGTAGGAATTCAATGAGTTTCGGACGAAGTGCGGCCTCTTGTGGAGCTACGACTGGGTGTCAATTCCTTTGGTGTACACTCAAGTGGTGACACTCGCTACTTATAGTTTCTTCGCAGTCGCCGTAATCGGACGACAATACATTGAGGGCGTCGAGAAACAATTTCAACTGAAAATAGACAAATACGTGCCCATTTTCACGATTCTGCAATTCTTCTTCTTTATGGGACTATTGAAGGTAGCTGAACAGCTGATAAATCCTTTCGGCGACGACGATGAGGATTTCGAGCTGAACTGGCTGATCGATCGTCATACCAAGGTAGGGGCACTCTCTCTTGTCTATAAAAATATAGGAAAATTGTGAAACATCGCGTATACTTAAGGTACAACTTCATGCTGACACTTGACGCACATTTTTAACGTTAAAATAGGCCACATAAAAATTGGTGAATATCAAGCGTCAATTTTGATTACGTGACCCGTTTTGACGCTAAAAATGAGCATCGAGAGTTAGCATAAAATTATACTTTCCTCCCCTCTTTATACTCGTATATTAGGTATCGTACCTCGGAGTGGACACGTTGATGAATCGCTGTCCACCGCTCGTCAAGGATATTTACTACGACTCCGAAGATGTGAGCCTGCCATATACGGAAGCGGCTGCAGCGTACAAGAAGAAGACTTATCGCGGTAGCGTGGCGAACATGATGTTAGTATCTTATTATACATAACATACATATATAGCTTATTGTAATATTCGTAATAATCGATAAGATGATATTTTTCACAATAAATTTTTTACAGTATTTTAAGATGCTGTAGCATCATTATCAAATCGACGATCAATTTAATTGTGAAAATCGCATATATCATACTTAAGATATAATTTCATACTGACACTTAACGCTGAATTGCATTTCAAGTCCGACAGTAAGCAGCACGCAGTTTATATAACTGAAAGATGTATTTAGATTTATATATAAAAATATTATTAGATACCTACATTTATCTCAATCATATATGCTGCTTCTTTTACTTATTTCGTTTTATTTATATAACGATCTAGATTAATTAATAACTTATTATTGTTAGTAATATTTATTTTGAACCAGAACAGATTAAAAGTTTATATCTAATTTGTATAAACCGATTTTAATTGCGAAATTGTTCGTAAAGAACTCTGGCGAGTTCTAAATCTTTTGGGATACAGTTTTGAAGATCTAAAATTCGTTTTGAATATTGAAATCTTGAACATTATATTCTACGACAAATGCCATCGGTTTTTCTCGATCTTTTCAGGGTGCCCGAAGAGAAACAGATGATGTTTTTGCCCGAAATTTTGGAAGAGGAGGAGGAATGCACGACAATTTTGACACCTCGTACTTCCACTGCCAGTTTAACGAACCCGAATGACAATCCAGTGAACGAAATGCGGTAAGATTATAATTGGGGTGCATATTGATGTATTCTAATTCTCATGAATTCAGATTAATATTGATTGTTAATTGATATTAAATAATGTAATTTTTAAATGTAATATCTTACTTTAACACTGTGCAAAAGAGTGAATTGTTACTTCCCAAGTAACGGTAACGATAATGCGTTACTTTTTATAACGATAACAATGATGTATTATTTTTATGAAGTAACGTTTCCAATCTATTTTTAATATTCTAACACATTTTTTAATATAAGGAAGCTATATAAGCTTTTAATGTAAGGAAGCACTTGCATATGTAAAAATATTTCAAAGCTTCTCTTCTCTACCCCGTTTTATTACCATAACGAATAAGCTTTGAGGAACTCCATTAAGTTAGACTCGTTTGTTTCAGCCAGATCAGCGGGTCCCCTTCAACATCTGCGAAGATGGCTCGCAATTGTTCCGAAACGATTATGCAGCTGGATGGTCAAGAGCAACCACCGATCGAAACGGAGCAACGACGGGTAATAGTCGAGGCTGTCCGGAAGTTCACTTTGTTGACGAAGAGCTCGGCATCTCGCTCTGGGAAACCCTTCTTTCCGGTTCTAACGAAAACTCCTAAGTCAGTGTTGCGTCCTTGGCCGAGCGCTACGAACATCCAACATCCTGCTCAGATATCGTCGATTCCGACGCCTGCAATTCCTACGTCGACTATCGTTGAGATTGAAGGTCCATGGGCGAAAGATTCGTTCAAGAGCTTGCATCGTCGGCCTTCCATGGACTCCGAGGGACGACCCAGCGTTTCATCGCAGAATGAGAAGAAGCAAGAAGGTGTCGTGAACTCGGCATTTGCGGAAGAGAGAGTGGATAACATATCGGACATTTGTGATTGCGATGACACTGAGGAAGGTGATGATTGCTCGTTGTCCGGACCTTCACACCAGTCTCGATGCACACGAGTCTCTTGTCAACAATCATTTACTTCAGAGACGATCGATATGTCCGTGATTAGTGGCGAACCAATTAGTCTTTCGAGCATCAAGAGTTCTTCGAAGTACTCGATAACAAAACGAGACCGGTCGATCAGCGATTTCAGGAAGAAGAAGAGTATCCTCCGGTCGAGGTTGTCTGGCAAACTATCGAACCGCAGAAGAACCACCGATAGCATACCCACGGTAAGCACAATCTTGAGTCAGACCTGGAGCTCGCCGAACCTGAGCAACTTGGAGGAGCAGGTGAAGACTGCACAAAGTGTCAAAATTGATTCTTCTTCTTGTAAGCAGGAGAAAGACCAGGAAGATTATAAATTATAAATAATGTATTAGGTGCGCAACTAAGTTCTCGCTGTTATTTTGATGAAAATGCAACTTGATTGTGAAAAAATGGTTACAAATGAATCATTGAAAG